TGCCATAAGATGACTGGTAGCTTTGCTCCTTATGTAGTCTGTTTGTGTGTCTGTCTGTCTGGGGGTGGAGAAGTTGTATGGTATAGAAGTGCTGCTCCCAGGGAATCATCCGAGAAGATTCTCCTGAAGCAATGAAACATTCCTGGCAGAGAGAGTGGTGTGGAGATGCAGGTCATTTGGTTTTTGTTGTTCTTTTCTTTTTTTGGTACTGGGAATTGAACTAAGGGCACTCAACCACCACTGAACCACATCCCCAGCCCTATTTTGTAGTTTAGAGATGGGATCTCACTGAGGTGCTTAGTGCCTCGCCATTGCTGAGGCTAGATTTGAACTTGCAATCCTCCTGTCTCAGCCTCCTTAGCCACTGGGATTATAGGCATGTGCCACTGTGACCAGCTGAGAGCAGACATTTTTTTTTTTTTTAAATTTCCTTGATATACTAGATGCTGACTTAGGTGTTTAACTACCCTTGGTGCTCAAAGGGAAGATTGTCTTTTCAAGGCCCTTAAGATACCAGTCATGCCCAGGTGCAAAACAAAAGAATGGACTTTGAATATTCATGAATTCAACCTATAACATTCATTAATGAGGCACTTATTTATTAAGCACTTGCTATGTGCATTGGGCTGGGTGCTAATGATGTAGAAGTAAGCAAAAAAAGGGCGGTCCTGTTGGAGCTTATAGTGTAGCTGGAGAACAGACAGTGGTCACATGATTATATAAATAAATGTCAATATTAATTTCTATGGTAAGGGCTCTGCAGGGTTAGTGCAGTGGGAGCAAGAACTGGACTCTCAGTTGTGGGGTTTAGGAAAGGCTGTGTAGCAAAGACAGGAATCAGGGAGCTGGAAAAAGAGCTGTCCTGCCCTCCACGTCTGCATGAGACTACACTGCAGCCCTCTACCTGCTGTGATCAGAAAGGAGAGTACCTTGAGGACGTTCCTGCCCTGCATGCAGGCCCTGATTTTGGAAACTAAATCACATCTCTGTGGTTGTTTGGTGACAGGGCATAGCTGGCTGTCTCTGAGGAGTTGTTCTCCAGGCTGACCAAGCCATGCTCCTCTGCTTTTGAGCTCTCCTGCCAAGGCCACCAGACACTTTATTCCCAGCTGAGGTTGGAAGCATACAAAGTTCCCCAGGCTCACTTCCCTAGTAGGAACCTTTACAAACTGTGCCTGTGATGGCTTCAGTGTTTAGTAATGGCCCCTGCCGTCTCCCTGGGGAGCTGGCTGTCTGGGCCAGACTGCCCAGTGCAGGTCCTTTCACAGGTGGTCACCCAGGCTCAGTGAGAGTCTGTCTCTTCCCCACTCTGAGCCAATGACTTCTCTCCTTTTGCAGACTCACCCCTCACCTGTGAAAGGACAGGGGTGGTTCTCTGGGGATTGATAGATGGGGAGGTGGGACCAGGAAATGGGTGTGTCAGTGATAGTTGCTCAAGTCTTCCTGGAAACTCCTGGGGTTTCACTGGGTCCACTCATTTCCTTCTCACTGATGAGTGACTCACCCGAGCTGCTAGTTAGAAGGTTACAACATGTTCTCACTAGTTCTGTCCTACTAGACTCGAGGGAAAAGGTTGTGTTGCCTGTGTTTGTGAGCATAATGTGCCATTCTTCCAAGATTTTTACTGTGTTTTCCCCCTAGAGGAAGTGCGATTTTGAAAAGGTCTGAGAAATACCATGGTAGGCTATCTTTTGTTTGCTATATGATCTCCAAGTGGTAGAATAACCACGTAAGGTAAAATTGGTATAGAGAAATGTGGCAGAAATAATAGAATTTTCTGTGCGAAAGTGTAAAGAGGCTTAGTCATTTCACATTATAGGATATTAACGTTAATAGTAACCGTGTCCCTGTTTATGAACACTCAGCATGCATCGGGCACAGTTAAGAGTTGGTGTGGGTAATGGTCATCATTTAATCTTCACAATAACTCTATGCAGGAGACTCTATTATACCAATTTTATACATAAGGAAAATGAAATTAGATACATTTGTTATGAAGGGATGGGTGCAAATGGCAGGACAGGCCATCTGTCCTGGCTTTCACATGGATTCAACAAGAGGGCAAGGTTTTGTTTCTCATCTCCATTTCTTTATGCTGGCAAAAGGGTTCAAGATTGAATACAGTTTTACCATCTGGCAAAAGTTTTCTTTGGATAGAGATGAATTTAAAAGACAGTGGTGATGTGTCCTCTTGGAAAGCACAGAGGCCCATCACCAGGTGAGTGGGCAACAGGCTGGTGTATCCACACCATGGAGTAATGGGCAGCAAGAAGGGAGGGTGAACATGCCAACGTGGGTGCATCTCAAAATACTGTGCTGAGTGAAGAAAGCTAAAGGAAAGTGTGTACCCTATAGGATGTCATTTACATAAAGTTCTAGGAGATGCTAATTAACAGTGGCAGAGAGCAGACCATGGTTGTCTGGGGATGGTGGGTGGTGGGTGTTGGTGTTGGTAAGGATAAAGAGCATGAAGAAACTTCAAGGGGGGTGGTTATTTCATTAATTTTGGAGGTGGTTGTGTGAGTGCATGTGTATATCAAGCATATCAAAATGTACAATATAATCATGTGCAATTTATTGAATGTCAATTGTACCTCCTTAAAGCTGGTAATATATATATGCAATAAGAGAATGATGTGTTTATATGTGGGGAGGTCATAAAAAGAGAAATTTGTTCAGTGGGAGCCTCATTGTCTGAGCAGCCTCTGAGCCACAGAGATGTGATTATAGTCTGGTCAGCCCATCATCAGAAGTTTATTAAACATTCTGTCAGGTACTTCGGGAGAACTGGAGGTGTGTGTATGAGACATGAGCTTGCCTGCCAATAGGACTCATTTGGAAAAAAAAAATGAATTGGTCTGATGGAGAGTTACATCTTGGCTCTCTTCCTTGTGTGGAATGGAATCTTTTGAAGTCCTTTCACATTTTCATAGCTCAGTTTCGTCCTGGGAAAAGCAGAGAGGACAGTACCTTTGTTTCAGGTCTGTCTTAAGGAGTAGTGGTAACATGTGCCACACGCTTGGCCCAAGTATGGGCACATGGTAGGAAGCTGGAGGCAGACATCATTGCTGTCAGCGCTGTGTTGGCGTGTTTTCAGTGTGAAGCTGAAGGTGTGTTTGAGGAGGAGGCGGGAGCTTTGTGGGCTGACCTTCACTAGGAGTAGGTTTTGAAGACCATACGGGAGTGAGATGAAGTACACCAGCTGCGTGAAAGTACAGAAATGGTACTACATGTTCAGCAAGCTCCCTTAGGAGGTGGGTGATAGTGTAGGAGAAGAGCAAGGAATTCTACTGACTAGAAAAGATGGTTTCTTTGATAGTTTAAGGTGCAAATATTGAACCGACATAAATGCAATGTTGGCAGAAAGTGTGGGAGGAGGAAGATCCATGTTAGGAAAGTCTTTCTGTATTCAGCATCATTGACATGCTGGTCTAGGTGATTCTTTGTTGTGGATACCTGCCCTATGTCTTTAGGATGTTTGGCTGTGTTGGTGACCTTTACCCACTAGATGCCAGTAGCATCCCCCACCCACATCCTTAGAATAATCAAAAATCTCTCCTGACTTCCATATGTCTGCTGGGGGCTTGAGGGCAGGGGCACTGGAAACCACTGCTTTCGTGATTAGACCAAGCATCGGTGACGATGAGGTATTTTTTTCAATGCGGGGAGAGAGCAGAGAGTGGAGCTCATTTACAGTCCTGGAATGCAGTGCTTTAGTTGTATGGGTTTGGCAGAAGTAGCCTGGTTCAGAGCATTTACCAGGATGCCCTTTAGAAGCCCTAAGGACTTTAACCAATAACCTATTTGGACTCTGATTCCCTTCTCTATAAAATTGGGGCAGTGGTAGTACCCTCCTAGGGTTGGTGTGAGGACCAAATAAGTTGAACTGTGTTGAGTATTTGCATAGGGAAAACAGCCATGCTTCTCTTCCTTTATTCAGAAGTCCTTGAAAGCAGCCTGAAGGAAGAAAAGGGAGCCTCACTGCCTCCAGCTCTCTGAGTTGATTTTTATAAGTGCCCATCTCTTGAAAAGACCTGTTAAAAAATTATTCTGAATGAAGGCATTGAGAGAGAAATGTAGAAAGTGGTATTTTGTCCCTGAGCTGATTCTTCTTCTCTGGGCCACGGATAGATCCTCATGTTGTTAAGAAAGAATGAAGTCTCCTTGAGCTGAGCAGAAAGCGATATGGAGGCATGAAGTGGCTGTCATTGACGTGAGTGGCGCCGTGCCACCGGGAGCTCCCCAGAGTGACTTTGGCCTGACGGAAACGTCCCTCTTCTCAGCACTGGAGGGAGACCGGAGACCATCCCAGACTTCAAGCCAGACCACACAAGGGCTCAGAATGGGCCTGCATGCTGCCAGGACTTCTCAGTGACACTCGGGACCTCCTGTGATAGCTGGAGTGTGACCACTTTGAGCCAGAGCCTTCCACTCTTGTTAACATCACACTTGTTTTACAGGCTGCGTAGGAAACACTATTAGGATGTGTCGGGCTTCCAGAAATCAGAATTTCTCCCTCTCCACCTGACCACGGTGAGGCCAGCGCAGCCTGGCAGAGGGATGGATACATGGCCTTATCAAGGTCAAGAATGGCAGCTGGCCCCATGTATCCCCCATTCGAATAAAGAGCCCCCCAAACTGCAACAGTCCAAGAATTGTCAAATTTCACAGATTCCAAACACACAAAGGAGATGCCCTGGCCCTGAAGCTTCTGAACCCTGGAAGGAAGATTATTTTTAAGCCCTTGTGTTGCCTTCATTACAGACAGATGGATCTTCTCCATCTTAAATAGAGGCTGTTTAATAATGTTTGCATCTTGTTCTTAACTTTCATTACTCACCTCATCCACTGAACCTAAACTGCTTGGAACATCATTTGAAATGTTCCAAAACAAAACAGGAATCATTTGGCCTGGGACTTCTTTTGGAGAAGTGAGTTTTAAACAGGGTTTAAATATATATTTTTAAAAAATTTATTTATTTTCTGTGTATATTTTTTACCTCTCAGGCTAGGAGCTCATTCCGTGACCTCGCACAACTCATCCTGGGATGTGATGCCAATATTAGCCCAGTTGTCTTAAAAGTATGTAAAATCCTCCCAGCAGTTTTGAGTTCATTTGACATTCTTGCTGAATTTTCTGGGTTTAGGACTGGAATGAGAAAAGTGATAGAAATACAAGTAACTTAAAAGAAATAGAATGGCAGACACAAAAATAAAAGCAATATCTTTCTCTATATCTTGTCATCCCAACCTATTGATTGGGGAAAAAAGTGCAAAGATTGAAAAAAAAAAAAATTGGACCGTAAGTAGTGTCCTGAGGATTTTTTTGGACAGTCTTTCCTCAAATAGCTCAAGCTGATTGACAAGGGATATGAATCCATCATATTGCCTACTTTTCAATGTTTCATGATAACTTAACCCCCTGAGCTCTAAGAAGTGATCTTATTCAGCTATGCTAGCAATGCCCAATCCTATTATTAAAGGTTGGGAATCAGTAAGGGTTAATTGATATGATTCACATATGACCTTCCTGGAGAAAGACAAGGAGAGGGTGAAGACCCTCATCCTTGGAGTGTGGTCCATCATTTACCCTCAGCACTGCATTTGGCTCTTAGAAAGACACACCCTCAGGTATCTTTGCTCTGTAGGAAGCGATCAGCATGGTAACCCACTTTCCAAAGGCCCATGGCAAGGCCTCATCTGACTTCACAGTGTGGTCACACTTTGTGCTGGGAATGTATAGCAGAAAACAGTAGGCCAGCCATGTGGAGAAATGAAGCCAGAAGAGACTGTATATTTTCAGGACCAATTTAGTGCATGATTGATCTTACTGATGCTGTTAGTGTAGTGTTTATAGCTGACTGGGTTTACTTACAGCAACTAGGCAGCACCCTGTGTTTAGGAAAAATCATGGGAGAAAATACATTGATTAGTTGGTTAGTTTACTCTCTAAAATTAGGAAATCCTCCTGTCATTGCTAACTTGGAAGGATGTTTGTAATGCCATGTATCTCACTGATACCCTGCCAGGGTGGCCTTTCTTTCTTTCTTTTTTTTTTTTTCCTGCCAATCCAACCCTCCCCAACTTTTGTGATTTAAAACAAACAAACAGACAAACAAATAGCAAACTGGCTTTATTCAGCCCATCCCCCTGTTACCTGTGGAATAACTGAGAGGGAGTTGTGCTCAGAATGAATTTATAGGAATGTTCAGAAATTAAAAAACAAAAAAAGAAAAGAAAGAAAAAAAGAATTCCTAAATGGTATGTGAAAATGTAGACTGAATTTAATTAAGATACAGATTACCCTTTCTCAGATAATATACATAGTAGGGATTCTTTTTTTCTTGTATTTTTTTTTTTTCTGTGTGACATGATGGAGAAAATAGTCATCGTGAAGTGAGAATGTGGTTTAAACAACATCAAATGACACAGGATACATCTCTACCGTACTCTGCATTTTCTCATCTAATTCCTAGGACTGTGGAATGTCCTTCTTTCTTTGCCCACCCTGAAAATTAGAAAAATTAAATTAGAAAAATTAAAGCTATTATTGATGAATGATGTAGAACTGGAATTGTAAACTGAATTTTGGATCACCATGTTTTATATGGTCCAAAGGCTGAGATGGCTTTCATGTGTTTTTGTTTGTTCCCAGAGATTGGACCCAGGCAAACTCTACTATTGAGCTGCACTCCCAGCCCCCCCCCCCTTTTTTTGTTATTGTTTTGAGAGAGGACCTTGCTAAGTTGCTGAGACTGCTCTTGAACTTGAGATCCTCCTGCCTCAGTCTCCTGAGTCACTGGGATTATAGGCATGTATCAATCATGCCCAGCAGGTGGTCACATTTTTAAATTATTAAAAAAAAATCCAAAGAAGACTAGTATTCTGTAGCATGTGGAAATTATATGAAATTCAAATGTCAGTGTCCATAAATAAAGTTTTATTGGCACCCAGCCACACTCATTCATTTGCATATCATCTCTGGCTGCTCTCAGACTGCGATGGCAGAGTTAGTAGTTTTAACTGATATCAACCATATGGCCCCAGAAAGCCTGGAATGTTCACTGTCTGGGCCTTCACAGAAAAGTCTGTTGACCCCTGGAAAGAACACAGAGTCTTTGGAGTTAGGCATTGGGATAGGTCTAGGCCATGCCTGTTTCCTTCAGTGTAAAACAAGGTCACATTTGGGTAAACAAAGGTAACCCATGGTTTTGGTGAGGCTAAAATAAAACATGAAGTGTGCCTACAGGCTGCTGCCAGGTGTCTCTTTCCCTTTCAGGGTTACCAGTATTTCAAATTTATTTTCTTGCCTGAGGTCACCTGTTCAAACAGAATCGGAGCAAAAAAAATGTCCTTTCCAAGCCTGACAGTAGCAGCAGAGGCAGACTCTTGTCTCACTCTCTTCCGTCTCTTCCTGTATTTAGTTCCTTTCCTCCACAAAATTGGTGGTGTTTGTGCACCTGCGGGCAGCAAAATGTCATTTTACCTGGAGGCGAATGGGTATATGGCATTGGTTTTGATCCTGAATGACAGAGAAGCTCACCTCCTCCTGAAGAGCCCAGTTCTTGCCTTTCCCTTGCTTCTTGTTAAGCTGGTCTGCGTGCTTGCTGAACTGCAGATCCAGTGGCCAGAGAGAAAGAAAAAGCTCTACCCTGTGAAGACGAAGCCTCATTGGCAAGCTCTTCCTCTGTGAGACCTCCCTTCTTTCCGACTTAAGTTACACATATTTTTCTCCCTTTTTTTTAACTTTCAAAGCTGGCAACCTCATAAGAGCACCATTCAGATGGGCTGCGCCAGGGATGTGGGGCATCATGAATGGGGCATTTCTTGTCCTCCTGGCCCCCTGTCGCTTTGTGCTATCTCTTTTCCATGTATTTTTAGCCACCTTTTGAAGTTGGAGCTTTGCCAGCCCTTCCTTCTGGGTCCTGGAGGTTGGTATCTGCATCTGCCGCCTGCTTGTGTAGTCAAATGAGTTAGGTGGTACTGTTGATAGAAAAAAATAATTGGATTGTATCAAACCCACTTAGGTGACCAGGATGTGCTCAGCCAAGTAAACTACCATGTGCTCATTACAATTTAGATTTTAATGTGAATTTTGCACAGATTGATGAATGGTATACCCGTGTGCCCTTTTATGTTCTGTTAAAAATTATCTTTTACATTATTAGTTTTCTCTTCTTTAAAAAAATATTTTCTTGGGACCTGCTAGTATGACTTAGTTGGCTATAAATGAGTGGTGCCATTTCAAACCTTTAATAATTTGGATTTTCTTTCTTTTTCTTTCTTTTTTTTTAGGTGGGGGTAGTAGAGCAGAGCTTTAGTTCTTGTTATTGGTTTCGGGTGATAGTCTGGAATTATTTTATAGATTGTGTTTGACTGCCAGCATGGTGCTTGGGTGTGATTAATTTGTGCAGCTTGCCATTGGATAAATAATATTCATTCCTTGGATCCTTGTTCAGAAGGGATTAGCCAAGTGAACTGGAAAACATGCCTTTGTAGGAGCGCTTTTGCTGTTTGTGATAATCAGTGAACGATCTAGTGGCTGATTTAATTCAACTCTTACAGAACCAGCTGATTTGCTGGCTCTTAATGCTTCTTAGTGTCTTCAGTAGTGTTTTAAATCTTTAGTTCCTTACACATACACCAATATTACAGTAGACATAGTTCAGAATTTAACATTTCCCCAAGGATTTTGTTCCAGGAATTCAAAATAAATACCTTGTGAAATGGGTTTCAAGAAAGTCGTTTTCTGATAGGTCTTTTTTTTTTTTTCCTCCCTACTTTGCTTCTGATGGGATAGAAAAAAATATGTTTAAAGGGTAAAATAAACTGAGCTCCCCTTGGAAAGGGAGGGTTAAAACAAAACAAAACAACAATAACAAACAAACAAACAAACAAGCAAACAAACCAGGGATGCCTTAGAGACCTGTATGGCGTAGGACTCTCAAAGCTTATAACGTGGCTTTGGGTTTTGGCAGCCCATCCCTTATAGGGGTAAATAATTTATAGCTGAGCTTTTGCCTTGTGGGATGGTTGGAGCGTGTTCTCCAGGATGCAGGACCTTCTGTTCCAATCTGCCACTCACTTGATTTATGTATCCGCCAAGTGACTGTGAAATAGAGAGGTCAGTTTAGGAGAGCTTTCTCCCCTCTTACTCTCAGCCTTTGAACAGTTTCCTCCTGTGTTTTGTTCATGGGAACAATGCATGGACTTGCCCTGTGTAGGGGATTTGGCTACTTGCTTGTGAGTTGCAATAACATGTCTTTTGGCTTTCAGGGAATGAAAATGTCAAGGCCCTGTGTACTGATTTTTATTTTTTATCTTTGGGGCCTCCATGGATTCGATTGCCTTTCTTAATTTTAGCCAAAACTTAAATGACAGGGGAGTCTAGGGCTGACAGATTTAGCAAAGAGAAATCCAGGGCACCCAGGTAAATTTGAATTTCAGATAAATAGCAGATAATGTTTTAATCTTAAGTATGCCCTGTATTTTATCTGATTTCGGAGGGTGAGTGTTGGTTGGGGGGTGGGAGAGGCTGGGGTTCTCCATTTTTAAAGTCCCCCCCAGTTAGGTCAGTTATTCAGAGGTTATTGTGAATGGGAAAATAATTGTACAAGACTGCCATTTATTAAGTGCTTTCTATATCGAGTGCTTTATTTAGTCCTCAGCTTGTGAAGTACTTATTGTCAAGCAGCGTACCTCTGGTGATGAGAATAGCTGGCATTTATTGAGTCCATCTATGTGCTGGGCATTGTTCTAAGAACTTCCATGTAACCTCATTCTGTGCTTAAAATAACCCAATGAGGGTTAAATACTGTTATCTGTTACAAGGCCGGAAACTGGGCTGAGGTTGTATAGCCAGGAGGAGTCCTTTTGGGGTCTTGCTTAAGGTCACGGGAGTCATTTATGGAGCTCCCATTCCAAGGCAACTCTTTTTCTGCCAGCTGTTCTTACCTCACCTGCATATTGGAACCACCTGGAGAGCTTTAGAAAACACAGATGCCTGGGTCCACCCCCAGAGAGTGGGATTTAGTCCCTCTGAGATTGGCCTGGTCATGAGGATTTATCAAATCTCCGCAGGCAATTCTGATGTGCAGCCTAGGGCTGAGGTCCACTGCTTTTTTTCTCCCAGTTTTGGAGTGAAATGAATTACTCTCCTTAGGAAATCTGGTCGCTCTATGTGGCCGCTCTTTTAGTTTGTACCCCTCCTCCACAGAAACACACCATTCCAAATCTGGCAGCTAATTTTTCATGGTCTTTGTTTCTTCAAAATTATTTTCAGGAAGTCCTGGTGGATATATGTTGGGGTATAAACAAACCACAAAGAAAGACCTCTTGGGGGTATTCTGTTGATGGATTTTCTGAGCGATCTTTACTTTTTCATTCCCCCATTGTACTTCCTGGAGGAGGGGAATATCCCTTTGTTCTTCATTTAGCTCCAGCTGGGTACCAGGCTGGGTATTTGTGAGGTTTACAGATTAATAAAACTAGACCACTACCCTCCAGGAGTTTTCAATTTGGGAAGGGAAGTATATAAATGTAATTCTAGGTTTAATTTTCTAAAAGTCACTTCAGAGGAACACAGAGGATTAAGGACTTCCCCCGTCTGCAGAGGCAGAGAGGAAGTGGTGTGGAATGTGGCCTCTGCAGTCCCTCCATGGCTTGAGTTCCTGCCCCAGCACTTAACTCCCTGCAGCACCCTGGCCAGTTCCCAAGCCTGTCTCATCTCTGTGACCTCCTTGGCACAGTGGTCACACCGGTTCTTCCCTGGGAGACACAGTGAGCGAATGCTTGTGGACTGGTGGATTGCACAGAGCTGACCTGTCCTGGAAGGAGGCTTAACAGTGTCAACTGCTGTGATCTGGGCATGGCTTTGAGCTCCCCAGCAGGCCTGCCCTTACCCACCGTGGGCCTGAAGCATGAATAGTTACCAACCTTTATCTATCTATTGCTCATTGAAATTGCAAGGTCATGACTTTTCCTTAACATGTTAACCAGTGAAGATCCATGGAAGTGTGTGAATGGGAAACTAGACAGAGCCCTGGAAGATACCTTGTGACCGACTAGGTAGTGGAGCAGGAAGCCATGGGACATCAAGACTCTGGTTAGGTCAGGAAACAAACAAATCAACCAAAAAAAAAAAAAAAAGAAACCACATTTAGGCCAAATGGGGTCACAGCTTAAAGGTTGCAGATATTGAGAAGAAAACTTTTGGTGCAAGAACTCAGATACATGTTACATATGATGGGTTGGAGGAGAGAGGGTGATGGAGGCTTCCAGTCTTGGTGACATTCACAGATGGAAAACACAGGAGAAGAGTCCGATTGTTAAAGGGAAAAAGGTGATGAATTAGGTTCTGAGCAATGTTACATTGCAGGTTCATCCCAAGCAATGCAAAACCACACTCTGTGTTTTATGCACATGCTGTGATTGCACATTTGGGGATAATGTGGAGTCTCTCTGCACCTCACTCTGAGTGGTTTCAGAGCTTGTGTGAAGAAGGCTTCACACCACTGTTCCCGTCCCATCTGTCCTTTATGTCCAACTTGTGCTTTTCTTCCTTGAGTTTGTTTAGGTCTGAATATAATTCTTTGCATAGGAAATTGATAAATCTTCCATTGCGGTTTGACTGATGGGGCAGTTTCTTTATTACCAGACAAATCTGAAAGTGTTACGGCTGTTGACGGGTCACGAGTTCTTACTTCCCCAATGTTGAAGAATAACACCAGAGAAGCATGCAGAGGCAAGGTCAGAGTAGAAATTAGAAGTTTATTAAAGGACAGCAGAAAAGTCTTCTCCCGGAGGAAGAAGGGGACCCAAGAGGTGGAATCCATGGAAGTGCGGTTGTCTCCCCTTTTTATAGTTCTTTCAGTGATGGATTGTAGGTGGGAAGGCCCAAAGGGTTGGGACACTGGTGGGCCAAAGAAGTCATCTGGGCACTTCCTAGTCAAGTTTGCTGTTCATTAACATTTCTTTGGGTTGGGCTGTCTTCAAATCTGTTGGGGGCTGTTTCCTGGGCTTCATTAACATTCCAAGAATTGCTCAACTTTTCTGGAAATTCATTCTCAACATGGCCTCCACTTTAGATTTCACTCAATATTAGACCCGATTTACCTAACTACACTGACTACCTAATTTTAAATCTGGCTTCAAAAGCAATAAATACTTCTAATATCCTGAGTATATTTATTTCTAAATGAGAGTTAGAGTAGTGAGGCATTCACTAATGCCAGGCTCAGCTTATAATTCAGAAACAGAAGGTAGATGCTCCCGGGGACTGTCCCCACTCTAGGTTTTTAAGGTCATTAGGAAACTTATTTCATTGCAAGTTCTGTACTTTGTATATGATACAACTAGGCCTTTGAGAAGGTTGCTAATGCATTTTATTTTGCCAGAGTAGCATGGACTAGAGGTTGGTGAACTTTTTCTGTTAAGTGCCAAATAGTAAATATTTTAGGCTTTGCCCTAGGACCTCTGTCCGAAGGACTCAGCTCTGCTTTTACCCTGCAGAGCAGCCACAGACAGATGTGTAAACAAATGAACTTCACTATGTTTGCTTGCAAAAACATTCAGTGACTGGGTTTGACCCTCAGGCTATAGACTTCTGGCCCCAGGCTTAGTATCTGTGTTGTGTGACTAACCTTCTCTGTCCATTTTATCAGCTATTAAAAGAGTATTAATAGAGGAACCAGCTTCATGGGGCTACTTTAATATTAAGCAAAACCACACAAAACTTTGCCTAGTGGCTGATGCAGAATAAGGGTACAGAAAAATGTTAACTAAATGAGAGACGATCTATTTATTTCAGTCTTTCAGTCTTCATGGTGACCTTGATCTTTAATTGCAATTATTTAAAGGTTAGAAGGAGAGACTGACGAAGCAGAATTTTTGAAAGACCATTTAGGTTTGCAACTCTACACAATGAACAGATGTAAAAAGGCATATATTGACTTTTAACAGATTAGAAAAAAAATGAGATCATG